GCCACGTCCCTAAACATAACAAAGAAGATTGTTGTTTTCGGTGCATAATTGAGTGTTGGCAATCAGTGACATTTTGACTGGTTATAAATGCCACAGGTGACTTGTAGACAGTGATGTTGTTCAAGAAACTGAAGCCCAAACAGAGAAAGAAAATGCTAACGAGTACAACAAAGCAACCTCCCTTTCTTTTTCTTTCATCGTGCCATCTTCATTTAACCAAAGCAGGATGACAAAACTACTTAAACTATAGCACTAGCAACTACTTGAACTCTTTTGTGGCCAAAATAAATGTACTACTTATAATTACTATGGCATACCTCTTTCAATAGCACCCACTACTTATGATATTCTACTTGACTTAAGACAGAAAAAGGACTATGAAACTAGCTTTTTAAAAGGGGATATATGAAACTAAATCATAGATATTTGATCATACAGTGCTCTAGAGAGATATGCGCATAGAAGTGTATTTCAGACAATGGTATAAGGCTACAGCAAGCCATAGCTGCATAAAGTATAGTAATAAGCATAGACGTATGGTGCATAGTAGAGGTACAAAGGAACCTACATTTTCTATTCAGGTCACCAGATTAATAAGCATAGACGATGATGACTAGATTAATAAGCATAGACGGTTGGTGTATAGTAGAGGTACAAAGGAACCTTACATTTTTCATTCAGGCGCAGGTGTGATTGCCTGATATGCTTCATACCATGAAAATATAACATAGGCAATCCTCATCTATGGGGAACTATTGTATATGTTCTAACAATAACTAAGTCGAAAGTGGCACTGTACCTTATTTATTTGACTGGTTAATGCAGTCAGGGTGGTATGATTATGAATGCTTGTAGGGAAGTGCAACCAAGGATTCACCTTCCTCCAATCCCACGTGACAAATTACACATCTACCAACAATAATTACAAGTTAGCATGCCACTTCAATAATATATATTATTGGAAGGCTATGAAACTTATAAGTATTTGAACGTACTGTTCTGTGTTGCCGTCTTGCATGTCTTTTGTGTTGTAAGTTACTGAAGGTAAGGAAGCAAGTGTATCAGCAGAGAGACCTCTACTTTCTGTACTAACCACTCCGCCCAATGCAACTAATTCCTGAAATCATGACTAGAACCATTAGCATTGCATCTTTGAACTTTAGATGCAAGCCCAGGCACCAAAGGGAATAAAGCAAAAACAACTTGCCTCGTATGAGTACTCATCTGGATCAATCTCTTGCCATGAACCCTGTGTTTTTTCAATAACATGCCGATTTGTAAATGTAGGTTACTCAGTCAAATTTGGCTGGTTTCAATAAGTAAGCAAAAACACAGTACCACAATTTGAACAAAGACAAAGTTCTCCGTGCATAAATTAGACGAACCGGAGGTGCATGCCACAATCCCCGGAGAAAACATGGCAGGAGGTAAATTTACCACTTTTAGCATAATATATCAGAGAATAAATTAGCTCTACCAAGCAATTATGTCACTGCTTCAATGAAATAAGCAAGTACTACACTGTATGTCACACACATTAACGAAACTAGATGATGCCCCGCGCGTTGCTGCGGGAATTTGTAGCGCTATTTAGGAAGAGAATAACCTGGCAAAAAGAATATTATTAATTAGATATAGAAACAGGGGGATATAATTGATAATTGGAATCTGTTCTATACATTGTTGTGCACTGTCGGTTCATCTAAAGGAATCCTATAGAAGAAGCGAGCAAACACATACCAAGATTCCGGTCGATAATCCCAACAGGATAATCTCAGATGCTCATCCTCAGGAGAGTGAAGAGACACCCTGTCTACCATTAAAAACAACTCCTTTTTTGGAAATTTATAAATGAGAATTTGCTCCAGAAGCAGTAATATAAAATTTATAAAAGCTCTAATCCAATCATAAATAGTTATTGGGAGGACAGTAGTTCATTAAGCCAATGATTCCAAATGCTCAGCAAGAGCATATGCTGGATTGTATTCTAATCGACATGACTCCTTCTGCATACAAAAATGATAAATACAGAAAATGAAATTTAACAAAGCATTTGTGTTTGACATGGTCTAGTGGTATACTCATTTCTATGAGTATATAACTATATATATGATACATGGTGTTGGGTGCAAGTGAAGTTACGACGGGTCTGAAATCTTAAGATGTAGTTAAATATGTCTTGTTGTCAATAGCATAAATGCCTAATTTCACCTAGTGTATATACATGGAACATTATAGCTAGAACAGGAAAAGGTTGACCTAAGAAAATGGCAGTTTGCAACTCTATCAAGATTTCGGTGTGATCTGTGATGTAGATTTCTTGCAAGATTTAAGGTTTTCAGGTCGGAGTAATCCATAAATTTATTCTTTTCAGTATTCGACTGAACATGTAGGTAGCAAATTTATATGATACTTGGCTCAGAAAAAAGAAATGGAGCCTTTTCACCCTAGAGTAAACCTCCCAGGTGATCAAAACCACCAAAAAAATATTTTCTCTTCCATTTTACATGAGTAAAAAAAACAATTGGGTTGGATCCTTCTAGCACGGTACATGATAAGTATGAAAGTAGCATGTTCACAATTGATTTGGACTCAAACATAAGAGAATAAAATGGCATGTTTCATCACAGTAATTACTGCAGAAAACTAAAAAGCAAATGTTTCTGCCATGTGCATATCTGAACTTAAATATGCTATTCTCGTGTAGTATTGCGAAAGAAAGAGAACCCATCAATATCACAACCCAGAATATAGAATGTGAACAGTAAGATGGCATGTTTCATTGACGTGAATTGCAGTTAATCGGAAGAAAGAAAAAATAGAAAAAGAGAGCAAAGACATACCGAGATTCCGGTAGCAAAATGGATAGTCTCCTATGCTCCGCCTCAATAGAGTAAACACATATCCGCCTACTAATAAAAAACAATACCCTACTTGCTGCAGGCACTTGTAACTGGAATTTGCTCCCAATGGCATGCAGTAACATCAAAAATGTGAAAGTGAAAACCAATCTTAAATAGTTTTTCAGAGGCCCGTAGTATCATTCAGCCAATGGTTCCAAACTCTAGACAGGAGCACCTATTGGAGTGTCTTCCTCCTGTAGAACAGCTAATGCCAGGGTGAGGATTATATCGGAAAGAACTTCAACCATAAATCATAGACCAAAAAAAACTTAGCATCAGTGACAAATTTCAGCTACAGCATATACATGGAACATTAGTTAGAATAAGAAGAGGCTGGTCTGAGTAAATG